TTCTATGGCATCGTGAAGCACCTTTATTTTTAAGAGTATAGTTCTAAAGTGGTGTTTTCAAATTAGTAAAGGAGGCTTGGGCTCAGCTGTTAAACTGTTCTTTCGCGATTCTCCCCCTCAGTCCGTTCACACCAGTTGCATCCCCTAAGGACGGCCCTGCATACACACACACACACACACATATATATTTATATATACTGTATATACACAGTGCTGCTTGAAAGTTTGTGAACACTTTAGAATTTTTTATATGTATTTAAAATGAGTCAATTTAAATATGCCTCAAAACATAATCAATTTCACACAAGTCCTGAAAGTAGACAAAGAGAACCCAAACAAACAAATGAGACAAATATTTCTTTGCCATTTATTTATTGAGAAAAATGATCCAGTGTTACATATCTGTGAGTGGCAAAAGTATGTGAATCTTTGCTTTCAGTATCTGGTCTGACCTCCTTTTGCAGCAATAACTGCAGGTAATGTTTCTTGTAACTGCTGATCAGTCCTGCACAACATCTTGAAGGAGTTTTAGCCTATTCCTCAGTACAGAACCACTTCAACTCTGTGATGTTGGTGGATTTCCTCCTATGAACTGCTTGCTTCAGGTCCTTCCACAAAATTTCAATTGGATTAAGTTTCCGGAATTTGACTCCAAAACGTTAACTTTGTTCTTCTTTAACTATTCTTTGTTAACGCTTCTCATTTAAACCAAAAAGGTCTATTTTGGTCTCATCTGTCCACAAAACATTTTTCCAGTAGCCTTCTGTCTTGTCCGCATGATCTTTAGCAAACTGCAGACTGGCAGCAATGTTCTTTTTGGATGAACCATGCACACCGTGGTTGTTCAGTGTTCTCCTGATGGTGGACTCATGAACATTAACATTAGCCAATGTGAGAAAGGCCTTTAGTTGCTTAGAAGTTACCTTGGGTTCCTTTGCAACCTTGCAGACTATTACACGTCTTACTTTTGGAGTGATCTTTGTTGGTGGAGCACTCCTGGGGAGGGTAACAGTGGTCTTGAATTTCCTCCATTTGTACACAATCTGTCTGACTGTGGATTTGTGGAGTCCAAACTCTTTAGAGATGTTTTTGAAACCTTTTCTAGCCTGATGAGCAACATCAACTTTTTCTGAGGTCGCACTGACACCTGATGGTAATTTCACTGATTGAAAACAACTCTGAAAAACAGATGGACTCTAATTTCACCTTCAAATGAACTGCCAATCCTAGAGATTCACATACTTTTGCCACTCACAGATATGTAATATTGTATAATTTTCCTGAATAAATAAATGACAAAGAACATATTATTGTCTCACTTGTTTGTTTGGGTTCTCTTTGTCTACTTTCACGACTTGTGTGAAATTTTGATCATGTTTTGTGTCATATTTATACTGAAATATAGAAAATTCTAAAGGGTTCACAAACTTTCAAGCGGCACTGTATATATGCGCTGTACTGTATATCTGGCAGATTCCTCAGCACTTCATGTTGTCCATTGGGAATTGATTGTATAGTAGAAAGTTGGTGGTACAAACTAGAGATAGACTTTAATGCAAGTTTGCAGGCAGTTGTTGATTAAACTCATCTGGCCATTGCTTAGTCCTGGATTATGAGACAGTTTATATACTGTATATGAAATGTTTTGTAAATGCACAGTGATTAGTCTTCATCAACTTAGAATTCTCTCTTTCTCATTTGTCAAGTCACCTTTATTTATATAGTGCTTTATACAGTACAGTATACAGTACAGATTGTATCAAAGCAGCTTTACAGCATTAAACATGAAAATAATGTTTCAACAAAATTTAATTCTGCTGTAAAGAAGCTCTACAAAGAGGACCGTAGTCCGTAGTCCAGGTGACTACGGTGATCTCAGAATAAGAATGAAACAGATTCATATTAATGTACATGACATTCTTCTTAAAATGTAACAAGTGCTCCCAGTTTCAAAATAAGAAAAAAAAACACTTCAAATGGTCCTCAATAAGGTTGATATTCGTACAGGATATAAAGTAGATAGTGTGTTAGTGTTTCTGTAGCAATGCTTTTTCTAGCAGTAAGTATATACATGTGATGCAGTGTATCAACAAATCAGCATTTAACTTGAAAGCGAGCATGAATTTGGACCATACAGGGCCAGTTTTCATAATAATCAATTTTCAGAGTTTGGATTAGGAGTTGGGAGTAAGAAATGGTCCACTTGTCAGTTTGAATACAGAAAGTGCTGGCATGCATTTTTGTGGACGTGGTGTATATTTAACAGTCCTTGCTGATGTATTTTAGAATTGCTACATCAATCTTTAATGCCTGTGTACAATTCATGGGCAGCATTTTCCTAAGCGCATCAGTTCATTGTTGTGATCTGGGTCATCCATCCATTCTTCAAATTGCTTATCCTCTGTAGGGTCGCAGGGATGCTGGTCCAAGGGTGGAGGAAACACTGCATGGATGACCATTCCATCATTTGGGAACACTCTTTCTCATTCACTACACAGACAAGTTAGTGTCTCCAATTCACCTCTGAAAAACTCCACACAGACAGACCTCCAGGCTCATTTGGGACTTGATCTGGGGACCTTATTGGTGCAAGGCAACAGTATTATAAACCTGGGTCACGTGCCATCCACTTCATTTTAATACTACATCCCAATAACAAATAGATGATCGGGCTGATAAAAGGGTGGGCTGTGGCCAATGCAGTAGCTGCTGGAAGTCCATATTTCAACATACTTGAACCCAGGCTGTCGGTACGAGTGGCTTGAAGCATGGTTAAGAAGATTTGAGGGCCCCAGAACACAAAGAAGGCAATCTTTATAGCACAGATGATCTGTGCCTGCTTATTGCAATCTTTACACCTTCTATGAGCTGATGTCAAACAGCTGAGAAACATGATCAAAGCTGGCACAAGAAGCCCGATAAGAAATCTCATGATAACGACTGCCTTCAGCCTAGCAATGCCGTCTTGAGTTGTTTTCAATTTGTCCAAGTCATAATCATCAATGCACTGAGAAGATCGCACCTCTCTGGAAAACAGCGAAGGACATGCCAAGACTGCTGCAATAGACCAGGAGAATGAAATCAGAATGATGTTACAATTCTTGCCATTTTTTATGCAATCGCTTTTTAAAAAAGCAGAACTAATGCTCCAGAGACTCAGCATGGCTGCTGTGGAGAACATACTGCCGTAGGTGATATAGGATGACAGCTTGCAGCTTGTTTTTCCATAATTCCATTCAAAGTTATTGTAAGCATACAGGAGCTGAAGAACCACAAATGCGCTGGAGACTAAGTGTGTTACAGCCAACGCCATAATCCAAGTGGAAACCGTTGGCGTTTTCTTGTTTTTCAGGCAGCTGATGATAAGGACGATGAAGTTGAGGGTGACACCGAGGATCAAGACAACAGAATATGTAATTAAGTAGATCATCCTGATCACATGTTGGTACTGCTTTATTGCATTTTCTGTGACTTCAAGTTCTGTAGTGATACCATCATAGTCTGCGGCATTGTCTTCTCTGGACATTTTGTAAAGCCTGAAACAAAAAGATGTGGATTAAAACTTTTTATTTTGAATAATATACTGCCCAGGAAGGGATGTGTTCTGTTCAGATCGTATATATATATATATGTCACCTGTTCTATAACCATTCCTGGGGCCTCATTTATCAAATGTGCGTACACACAGATTTGATCTTAGAGTGTGCGTACACTAAAATCCACAGCAACGTTTATATTTATAAAAACGTTTTTTGACGTGGAAAAGTACTTACCGCCATGTCTGGGTCTGAGCAGGCGTACGCACTTTTCCTTGTGGCAAAGTCGAAGTACTGCAGCTATTTGAACATATAAGCTGCAATAATAATAAAAGCGGTGTACGTGCAAGCACCGAATCCATCATAAACAACAAAGATACAGTGTAAGAGATTAATTGTGCAGTGTAGTCAGATTTTTTTATTAACTGGAGGTTTTGCCAGATTAAACTTGACCTTTTTAGTAGCCTAATGTTGAGAGTTCTTTACTTGCTTTCTGTACACAGTTTATTCCATGTTGTTGTTTTTTTATAATTTTATTTTACAAGAGAACTTGCAAAGTCTTGATTTACTAGTAATGTGTAAAATAGAAAAGAAAATGCAGAAACGCATCTCGACTGTTTTGTCTGTGTAGCCTATAAGAATAGGCCTAGGTCGTATAATAAAGGTTTTAATATATTCTATTCAATAACATTAACTGTTTTTATTTATAACATCTGCTGCTTTGCTTCTGTGAAAATGAATAGAGACATCAGCCTTAAACTTTGTTTTTGTCATGTAGGCTACATCAGTTATATTTGCATAAAATACACTATATATTTTTGTGTCAGTACATTAATGGCACATTTGAGCAGCATTAGTAAACCGTGTAAATATAAAGAAATGTCAAATCGCATGCACATGTTTTTTTCTTTTTTAAGATTTTATTATGATATGAAACGTCCAATTTCAATCATGTTTTTAAAGTTTTGCAAGGATTTCGTGATACTAAACTTTATATTAGTTGTCATACCAAGTGATTTTAAAAGTAGGATGGCTCACTTTTTATAAGATGACTGAAAATTTTACTTGAATTCGTAGTTTTGGAAACCTAATTGTTTTATAATTACTACTAATACTATTATTATTATTATTATTTCTGTTGTTTCTAGAAGTAGTAATTTTGATAATACTCAATAGAAAAAATATAACTACACACAGATCGTTTGTCCACTGAATAATTACTCCTTATTAAATAAAAAGCGCCAGCAGGACCTCAATTTCAGACTCAGTAAAGTTTTTTCTTTTCTTTGTGCTCTTCTTTCTCAAGCATAGAAATTCGGATATTGGCGTGTGCTCTTTTATATGGTAATGATATTAATTAGGGGGCGTTTACAAGGCGGAGATCTGACACCAGTCAGCTGCACACAATTTCCAGATCATTTGCGATTTATAAATGTCACATCTTGGAAGAGAGGCGTACGCACGTGTTTTTGTGCGCACGTTCGTTTTCTCTGAATCGCATTTACGCACTTTTGAGAAATGATCTTAGAACAAATTTAGGATGGTTTATACGCAACATTTTATAAATGAGGCCCCCAGGACATTGAATAGAATACTATTCTTGAAAGGATAGCGCAGGCAAATAAATCTTTACAAAAGTGGTCTTTGTGAACTTTTTTTTTAATGGAAAAGAGCGGTGATGATTCTTCAAACTTTTTTTTTCTTTCTTTTTTTGTCCAACAAAAAAATAAACACCAGGCTTAGGGAAGAAATTAGAGATTTTTTATTTTCTCATAGAGTTTTTTTTATTTCCCCCCTCCTTAAAGGGGTCATATGATACTTTTTTTAAAGATCATTATTTGGTGTAACAGAATATGTTGACATGCTTTAATGTTCAAAAAACACATTTTTCAAATACTGTACATTATTGTTTATTATTGTCCCTCTCTCTCTCTCCCGCGCACACACACACACACACACACACACACGATGCGCAAAACTCCGCATTTGACCAGTCAATAGCAAATACTTAAACTAATAACAAAACAGTAGCTGATTCAGAAGCGCCAGATTGTCATAGCAAAGTCAGAATGACCTCCTCTCCTAGGTTCACGAAACGGTCGTCCATAAAATGCATTGCTGTTCTGTTGTAAGTCATCTTAAAGATTCCTAAATGCATCTACTTTCGGAAGGCCAAATAAAGTGCTTTTGCTTTCGCCTAGAAACACACAGCGGCTCCCTGACATGCTGCTTCAACACTAACTGCGGTTACTGAAACCACGCCTTCTTTCTTTGCGTGCACATTTGGGCGGCATTATGCTAATATTTCCACATAGTGAGGTAGATATGTGGGGGCGTGTTAGAACGAGCCGTTTTAGGGGGGCGTGGCAGAGTCTTAACTTTGATAAAGAATATCTCTTTGGTTTTGAGACTTTAGTCTTTGCAACTTCAGGGATCTTATCTATGCACAATCAGCTTGTAACACTCCAAAGAGAAAGGAAAACTTGAAATCGCATCATATGACCCCTTTAAAGTCCCTTTAAGGAGGGGAGGAAAGTTTCTCTTTCCAAACAAGGCACCAGCAAATATATGGAATGCGCTCCTTTTCTATATTAAAAGCATTAATATCTAATATTAGAGATTTCTTATGTTAGCCATTGACGTTGAAATCTGACACTTTCGTCAGTGACCAACACATTTAAACACCTTACATTATAATTGGTGCAAAACATTAGATACTTTATACTAGTAAGACAATAACAAATTCAGATATCACAGAAAATAAATCTTAATTTAATATTATGAATTAAATTAAACAAAAAAAAAACATGAAAAACCATGATCAGAATTAGAGTGACAAAACAGCAACATCTGCAAAACAACACTGCATGTTTGTTTTTTTTATCGTATTGTACATTTTTGCACACATAATTTACATTTAAAATCAAGTTACATCTGCATGGCTCGCAGAAAAGTTCTAAAAGTTTCATCATAATCCCTTATTTGGTTCACATGCTTTGCTTCGTGCATATTTTCTGCAAAATCCGCAGAAATATGTGTCTATCTGCGAGAACGGTGTAGGCTACTGAATATGAAAGTAAAATACGTGGCATTGAATATTTAAGCTTTTACATTTTTTCCTTAAGCACATGTGTGTTTTCGTCGGCTGCAATTTGAGCTGCAGCACATCTTTGGTTCTGTCCAGAGGTTTTAACTGCCCCTGTCGGATTGACGTGTACAGACTACACAACCACGTGTGGAAAACAAGTTTTATTCTTCTAAATGCAAACACGTTTAAAAGGTGTTTGTAAAGATGATGAAAGTACACATCTAAGTTTGTGATTCTAAGATTAAAAGAGAATTGCACCTACATAAACAAGTTTAAACAAGCCACATGTTAACACCACAACCAGATTTCATTTATTAAAACATTCTAGTAGCTTCACTTGGTTAAATTTCAAGAGCACTTTAGCACTGGCTTAAAATTGGCATACGAGGACTGCACTTATCTAAATTACCTTAACACCTTGTCCTAACCAGACGCGACGTGATAATATTCCAGTGACAAATAATTTGTCTGTTCACACCAGACGCGACAGAATCAATAAATAATCACAGCAAACGGACGCTGCATGCTCTTGTCCCCATCTATGCTTGTCCCAGCCGCGTCGTCGCAGAAATAGAAACCCACAAAATGCAAGACATCCTTGATTTTTGTAAGGATGAAGGGGCGTCACCCTTGACGCTAGACGCATGGCGAGTCTGAAGCTTGGTGCTGAAGCACTCATAGTGACAACAGCCAATCACATTAATTAATTCATTACATCATTACTGTAATTCAATGATAAACAGAGTACACAAACACAATACAATCACGACACACACCAGATTCACCAACCACCTCGGCCACCACCTTCCAAGCTTGCTCCTTTGAGTATGAGTCGCGTACTTATCTTCTATTAAGGTTCATTTTGATACAGGGGCGGTTCTAGGGGGTGGCCAGGGGGGCCTGTCAACAAGCTTGGCCCCCCTAAATTTGGAATCATATCACACCAAGCAATTTTGTTTGAAATGCGCAGTTTGTCCAGTAAACTATATATATAAAAAAGAAAAACATGCTAAATTCAAATCTGCGTTCGCTGGCTGGCACATATGGATTTCGCTACCTATATGCTTCCATAGGCACAGAGCCAGAGACACACGGGGTTTTAAAGCACTGCGCATTATAACCAATCACATACGGATTCTGTTGTTTATGAATGCAAGGACCAATCAGAGGCCTTCAGATGAATCACCGCTGAAACACTGTTTAGTCACCGCGCGCACTGTCTGACTGAATTCTCTGACTAATTCTCTCATCAGAAACAACAAAGTGAAGATGTACGAATGTAAGTAAGATATTAATTTCACAGTGTAAACAGCTTTAGAGATTATTATGGGAGTTTTTGAGAGTGCTTGAACTCGCTGGATTGAAGTAAAAATGTTCTTTCTTTTTGTACAATGAAAGTGTTACAGGCTAATTAGTAACTTACAATGTTTTTATTAAATTCACATTAAATACAAAGTCAGTCGTATTAAAAATATGTTATGGTATGACACCATATCTGGTACTTAAGTAAAAAGACGGATTTTATGCAAAGTTAATAGATTACACTACTTTGCCCATCGCCCATTATATCAACTAACATAATCTATGAAGTGCAAAATGCATTTACTTACACATATTTGAGAGTCGAGAATATTTCATGATATATTTGTGGAATATTTCGAATAAAAAATTAATAAAAACCCTGCTGAAAAAAACAATAGACACCATAACAAAATTTGTAATGGTTTTACTGGTTATAATGGGACTTGTATTGGTTTTACTGGAAACTGTAATGGACCCTGTTGGTCTCTACTGGTAATTGGTTGCCTTCTATAGGTGGCTTGTTAAAACCAATAAATCCTAATGGAATATGTCCCAAAACACACTACAGAAAACCATTTTTAATGGTTAAAAGTTGATGGTTTGTAATGTTTGTAATGGCAATTTGTAGTGGAAACCATTAAAATTTTCTGTGATGGTTTTATTATTTATTTATTTTCAGTAGGGACATAAGCCTATATCAGTTATACAATGATATTGTGGCTGCTGTGTGTCACATGACAAGCACGAGAGCCCCCCCCTTCACTTGTGCCCCCTCAAAAATAATGAGTGCATGATGCCCCTGACACTACAATACACAATTATTTGTCAAATAAATTAAACATGATGAAACATTCATTTTAGTTTAAATTGTTAGATTACTTCTAGAGATTGCAGTGATACATGACATAATGACTGAATGGATAATATTTAAAGGGGTCATATGATGCGATTTCAGTTTTTCCTTTCTCTTTGGAGTGTTACAAGCTCTTGGTGCATAAAGAAGATCTGTAAAGTTGCAAAGACTAAAGTCTCAAATCCAAAGAGATATTCTTTATAAAAGTTAAGAGTCAACCACGCCTACCTAAAACGGCTCGTTCTAACACGTCTGTTGTCATCAACGCTCCTGGTAATTGAGAAACTGCTCTAGAGAAACTGCACCAGCTGAGTCACTTTCGATTTCGTGATCACACGCACTCTGTGTAAAGAGAGCACATTTTAAAGGGGTCATATGATGCGATTTCATTTTTTCCTTTCTCTTTGGAGTGTTACAAGCTCTTGGTGCATAAAGAAGATCTGTAAAGTTGCAAAGACTAAAGTCTCAAATCCAAAGAGATATTCTTTATAAAAGTTAAGAGTCAGCCACGTCTACCTAAAACGGCTCGTTCTAACACGCCCCCACATATCTACCTCACTATGTGGGAAGATTTGCATAAAGCTGCCCAAATGTTCACGCAAAGAAAGAAGGTGTAACTTTTATTCTCGCTGTAGTATTGTTGCCGCTGCCGCCATGTCCTGAAGACGCTGTGTGTTTCGTTGTGAAAGCGAAACTACTTTGTTTGGTCTTCCAAAAGAGGACGATATCCGCTTCGTCATGCCTAGAGCTGATCTGTGCTGGTCGCTGAGGAAATACTACAACTTAGTGCTGTGGATCGCCGGATCGGCTTTCACCGTTTTCACCGCTCCTTCGCCGGGACCGCCGTTCTCGTCCCTGCCGCCTCAGCTCACTCTTGCCCGGCTTCAGCTCACGCTAAGCCGGGGCTTGCGCTCACGCTAGGCCGCTGTGTTTTTTGTTGTAAAAGCGAAACTACTTTGTTTGGTCTTCCAAAAGAGGACGATATCTTATATAATTATTTTGTATTCTGGCAATTTTTCTTTTAATATTGATTTCTTTAGTTTGAGATGTTATTTGAGCCGTTTCTATACTTACATGTTCATTTTTCAGTATTTGTTGTAATTGTTAAATATAGTACATGGCCCCTTTAAGAATTAAGGTTCCGGTTGCTTTCCTTCAGTACGCGGTAAGCGCGGCTCGGGAAAGGTGAGTTCTGCTGGAGCTGGAGCTAAAAAGTTTCAAATTAGTTTGTTTCTTATGATTTAATATGTATTTTTTTTGTTAAAAATACAGTTTAATCTTACTGAAACACTAATAGAGATTGTGTAACACGAAGTATGTATTTTTTTTGTTTATTAACCATGTATGTCAGTTCCGTGGCTAAAATGACCAATCACAACGCACTGGATAGTTGGCCAATCAGAGCACACCTCGCTTATTCAGACCGATGAGCTTTGTAAAAATTTACGCGTTTCAAAAAGGCAGGGCAGAGAGGAGAAACAATAAATGTACAGTATGTGGAAAATAATGTTTTTTTTTTTTCCTTTAAA